AGGGGGAGGAGGGTTTGGACTGGGTAGAGAGAGGTGTTTTCGATTACGGGGGCGGGGGAGCTGCTAGAGGGGACGGTGCTATCTGTTGCGTTGCCTGTTCCCCGGGCCGAGGTGTCGGATATAGCGTCGCTTTGGGCGCTTTGTTGGGAGGCGCGAGTTGTGGTGGGGGAAAGGGGAGCAGTGAGGTTTGTTGTCGCCGTTGGTGGTGAGCCAACTGGGTGCGCAGCGGTGTTGGTGGACTCGGAGGAGCGGTGATGGCGCCAGAAGGAGAGACGGCGGGTGGTCGTCGACATGGCTGTTGTAGGAGACACGGGGCTCATCGGCTTGGGCTTGATGCGCATCGTCTTGGCGCCTGTCCAGGCATCACGGCGAGCTTCGAAGCAGGCCAGCCCGGGGTTCCATGAGGCTTCGTCTCTCACTGCCCGCCTCCTCTTGGCCCGCTTGGCTTCTAGCGAGCACGTGACGGCGGTTCCGACGGCGTCGGGGCTGTCGAAGCGAAAAGGTGAGGTTCTGGGAGCTGGCTGCTCGTCATTGTCTGAAAGATCGGAGGTCCATTCCGCTCGGGGACGGTAGTGGATGAGATCTTCCGATATCGTGCTGTAGACCGACTCGGCGTCCGATTCCGAATCTGCCTCCTCTCCTGGATCCCGAGGCGCATCGTCGTCAAACGTCTGAACTGCGGCTGCCTCATCTGCTATCCTGGGTGAGCCATTCTCGTTGGGCGCTATGGTGCTGTCTGATGGAGGTTGAGCAATATCGCTCTTCTGTTGCTGCTGCTTCTCATTGGATGTTGGTGCTTCTGTCGATTGTGACTCCGTCACAGGCGGCCATTCGAACTCCCAGTCAGTGCGAATCTTCTCCAGGAGGTACCTCCTAACAGCTTCCTTCTGCTTGGCCTTGTCTTTGCTCACAAGGTCGGCATCAAGATCGGGTGGTAGGACGACCGGCTGTTGGTGGTGAGGAAACGAGTGCCTGAGCTTGTTCAGAGGCGACCTGGGTGACTTGTACAGGTCAGAGAAAATCATGGTAGGCGGTTGTTGATTATTAGGTTGGATGGTGGAATCGTGATCGCCACCCTTGGGGCCGCTGGGGAGCTCCGACGTCAACGGGGACGACCTTAAATAAGTCGTCAACGGCGCGGACGCGGGGGGTTGCGAGCCGGGTTGAGCAGCACACGGGCAGTGACCAGGATGATGATTGTGGTTAGACTCGCTAGCCTCTGCTTGAGGGTCGTCACTGGGGTCACCGGGGTGCTGAGGGTCCTTTGGATGGTGGCCAGGGTGGTCGATAGGGTGGTCTACAGAATGGTCTGGCTGATGCGGGGCCGGCTTGGCTCGAAGTGGTATGATGTCCTGCTGCTGGTCTGGGGCTGGAAGACCGGAGTACGACCACGCGTTAACGATCAGCGCATTGCTCTGTTTTTTCATCTGCTATGTATCTCGAGACTGCGGAGAAAATAAGGTTGGATGATGTGTGCAATGAATGCCGAATGTGGTCCGAGAGAAAAGTTGGGGAAAGCGAGACAAACAAGATTCTGGATCCCTGTTGTTGAAGACTGGTGGGGGGGGATGAACACGGGGGATAGACAGGAGTAATGTAGGAGCAAGGACGTGTTAATGAAGGGTTGTCAAACAAAGATCAAGATATGCCAAGATTAGGTGTAGATCTGGGGTATCAAGAGATCCGAAAATGAAATGGGATCCTCATGAAGAAAAACAAAAAAGGGCAAAAGCCGCCGTGTAAATGGCTGACGATGCGTGGACGATATGACTGGTTCCTTGACCAACAGTGGCGGCCAAGTCTACAGTGTACATTCAAAGACATGCAGACAGACGGACCAGAGTCCAGATCGGGGGGCACATGATGAAAGCTAAAGAAAACGACATGTACGATTCCCATTAGGTATGTAGGGAGGTGGTGATGAAAAGAAATAAAAAGGCAGTAACTCACTCTTGTCAATGCTGATATTGGTGACTGAGTTGTTCTTGAGATTGTCTTGTTGTTCTTCCACGACGGTTGAGGTGGTGTTCAAGTCCTTATTGTCCAACTCATGTCCATTTTGTTGCTGATGTTGTTGCTGTGACAGAGAGGAGGAAGAAGAAATGCCAGATGCGCCAGCTCCATGGTCCGAGGAAATGCCAGTGACGGAGGCGTTGCTAATAATCTGGCGGTTATGAATGCCAGAGCCACAGCCAGTGACACTACTCTTCTCGGCAACCTGAACAACAACAGATCCAGTCCCATGTCCTTCAACAGGTCCGGGCCTAGGCACAAGCACAGGCACGGACTCGGTTGTTGAACTGTTGGTGGTGATGGTGGTGTTCGTGTGCTCTGACCCCGACATGCAAGCCACAGAATCTGACAAGTGGCCAGGGATGATCGGCGCTTTATTGATCATGTCTGGCGCATCTGAGATCACCGTCTCGTCGTTGTGCATTGTGTTCTGCTTGTTGGGTTGCTCTAGTTCCTTTTCCCTGCTTTAGCTTGGCAGCCGTTATTTGTGTGTGTGTTTCGCTCCACTTGGACACCTGATTGTGTGATGTCGGTGAGGATCTTTCATGTATATATGGTCGAAGAGGAGCCTCTGTTGTCCTTTATCTTCTCACTGATAGATTCAAAACAGTCTCGTGAGATTCGTACACTATGCGCCAAGCTGTGAAGTATCTCGACGTTCTGCGCGACAAGGTATGTGGTGTTTGTGCTTTTTTTGCGACGAAGATGAACAACAAGAACAACAACACCAACCGCAAGTGGAAGAGTTGAAGATGGTGAACGGGACCCGGACGAACTCCGAAATAGGTAAACTGACGCGGCAGGATCTGGTGGTCGCCAGTTGCTAGTTGCCACCCCTCGGTTTCCGTTTTGAAGGCTGGCAGTCTGTCTGATCGGCAGCGAGTGTTGGGACTGCCGAATTCCTGCTGCTTCTGGCTCTCAGTTCGTCTTTTTGTGGTCGCCTTGTCGCAAAGAAAAACAAAAGTCGGGTGCGCAAGTCAATTTTTCGCATTCTCAATCTATGCACTGCAGTCGCAAACCAAACGCCAAGAATTCTGGGAGATGCTTGGGCCACGATGGGGTCTTTTCCCCTTGCTTGGCACTTTCCCCGCTAATAAATGGGGCATCTGTGGTGCACAGTGGTACCCTTGGGTACAGTACTGTCTCCTGTATCCGGGCATTCATCATTTTTTGGTGTTTCCTTCTGATGGTAGGTTCGGTAGCAACACATTCAGCTGGCGATGCCCTCATTTTTTGCTGCTGGGCAACTATTTGAGCATGTGTAAGTGTACCGTGCGATGTCCATGTGAATCACCCTAATGAACCTCTCACGCCACACCTGTACTGTATCTAGCGGCACCGGCGGCAGTCCCCCAAGTTCACACTCCATCGGTGGATGCCTGGATGGATATCCCCATCCCAGCGTCACAATCTCACCCGTTACGGGATCTGGCACCACGAGTGCGCAAGTGCAACTTTTGGACAACCTTTTGCGCTTGTCGTGTGATGTGAGGTCAGCCATACGATATCCATCGTTTGGGTTAGTTGAGGTCCACAAACTATAATGCATGGTGCCCAGATTTTGGCTCCTCAATCTACCATCATACCCTTTGATATCTCTTCATTCTCACATGCCCTTCCCTTGCCAGTAGGTGATTGCTTGCTGAGTGTGATATCGATCTCCCAAGTTCCAACACAGTTGGATCTGTGACTTCAGTTTGACGCAAATAAAAATCCACCTGTACTGTAAGTCTACTGCACGGTGGTATTCCAATCCTACAGAAGAATCTCACCACCCAAGACACACACACCATCGAAGAAATCCAGGGTCCTCTACTTCATCCATCTCACCCCAGGGGCATTGTTCATTCGTTCTCGCTCCTTTCTGTCGGGTTTCCCCATCACATCCTTGCGTGTGAAAAGCTTGTTTTCACTTCGTCAAATCCTACTTACTGCCCAGCTGCTCAACACCGAACATCAGGAACCACAGCCAAGTTGAGCCAACGACAAAGTCGATTTTGGTGATTCGTTCATTCACAATATGTACCCCTTTGCGCAGGCTTGCGCGGAGATATGTATCTCCACTTGTACCACCTATTCCCGACATGATCTAGCGGATGCACAAATGCAATTGTGCCGTTCCTCAAAGTGGGGAGGCGGTGAGGTACACTCGGTACTGTATCTCTTGCAGCTGGCACCATGCACCCTGACAGGAGCTGACAATCTGGGGAGCCTACAGAAACAGTCAGCAATCAACACCGTGACAGAGAAGGTCATCAGTAAGAAATGTGGAATACCGTAGGAATTCGAGTAATTCGCCGAACCCTTCCTGCCTTAGGGTGGGGGGGAACCTGCCATAGTTAGGCCCCGCGTGTACGCATATGCTAGTATATGTGCCCACCCAGTTTAAGCTATAGAGCAATGCAATACAGTGTTCAAAGTCAGATTCTTGTAGTCCCAGCCGTCTCTCTGTTTCTCGTATTCTTATCCTTATTAATCTCGTTAAATCATTGTTATATTGTTACAATAAGCTAATCAGTAGTGAAATAGTATTTTCCTGCTCTCCTTTTTAATATTAAGCTCGCTGAATATTACTTTAGTTGTTTGAATAAATAACTATATAACTATAAAATTAAGTAGAAAGCGCTGGTTAAACGTATAGAATGATCCTACTTTATAGAGTTGAAGCTACAAGTTATTTTTACACTATATAATATTTAATAGAGGAGAGGAGGAGTAATAATAAAGAAAGAGAGAAATAATATTAATTAGCGTTGCGAAGATTATTACTTATTTTTGTACAAACGCGAATCGAATATGATAATAGCTACTATACTTATATATACCATGGCGGCGGTTTTTAAAACGATGGTTATACTTAGAAGCTTCTACTTTTTATAAAATCCTCGTTCGCACAATGACTAATTGGTAGTTAAGTTGTAATAAAATTGTAAAGAAATTAGCAGTTAAAAGTAAATTGTGGTAGTTAGCGGTAGAAAGCCAGTTTTATTGTAAATTTTGGTTAACCTGTTATAAAATGTTTTTGATAACGTGAGTTTAATTTCGCCGGCGTTCAAAGGCCTTCTTTATAGAATTATACCTAGAAATTAAGTATTTATTTATATTCTTCATTGGGTAGTTCCAGAATTTTCAACGGCAATATAATATTTAATAGCAACTAGTTGCACATTAAGCATAAAAGCTTCCTAGCGAGTTGCTAGTTAAAGTTAGCAATTTTTTTCAGCAAGGTAGGGAATTTCAATTTGTTAATAGTCTCAAAAAGTTTATTAATATCTTAAAGAAATTGGTTAATATTTTGAAGAAATCTATTAATAGTTTAAATATTACTAGTAGCTAATATAACTTTTAACTTTATTAAGCGAAATAGTTAACTGACTATTTATAGCACTCATATGAAGTTCTTACTATTTTATATTATTAACCTCAATAAAATTCTTATTTCGTAATGATTGTTACAGGCATTACTGCCTTGTTCCTATATAAGATATGTAGGCGCTGTGCTACATTAGTGTAGCTAGCTAAGTACAGCTGTATAGTTGCAGCACAACTTAGCTTAGCGTAGCACGACCACAACAGCCACGCAGTCATATGATAGCACCCTGTAAGTCTAATCACAGGGTTCCATACTATACCTTATATAATTCTCGTGTACGTACAGTATTTCTTTCCTATTCCTCATCCAATAATTAAAGTTTTATTTGAATACCTGCTCGCACTCCATAATAGTTTATTATATTTAACCTTCGTATTAAAATGCAACGAGTAATTTCAATCAAAATAAATATAATAGAAATTTGTACAAAAGTTTAGGTGTTAGAAAATTTACTTTATAATAATTCATCTAATTGCTAGTAGTAACTAAAAAAATCTAGTAGCGTGGATATTAATTGTAAAAAAATAACAAGTAAGTATTTAAAACAACTAAAATAATAAGAGCACATTAATTGCATCAAGTAATGTAGTAGAATATTTTTTTCAATTTCTTTTTAGTTATGAGTGAGTATTAATTTATTAATTAATTAAGTAAGTAATCTAATTAAAATAATGAGCAACGTAGTATAGAACATTGAAGTTAAATGTATAAATATTATTAGCATTCTCTAGCTTTTTTAAAAGAATATAATATATTATTAAAAATATATAACAATACTGATACCGGACATGTGTATTATATGTATATAGATTACATAGACCCATGAGGTGCCCAGCCATGTGACTGAGCTACCCACATGGTCACATGTACGAAGGCGGTCGCCTAGGATCCACTAGTGGATCACTGATGAGATGAGATGTTGCATGAGAAGCTCGCTCTGTGGGCGAGCCTTCGGCTCTCGATTCTCCCTTCAGCATCATCTTTCACAACGCTTTCAAATACCACACATCGTATTTGCAGAGAAACTCAGGTTACCCGTATCAAATACTTAAACTAGTAACTTTATAGTTTTCCCAAACTTCGCCTAAAATGCCTGTAATTACAAGAGAATCAATAGATTATTCCATTGTTTTAATAATTATATTAGAATAATTGAAAAAGACGTTATCATTCATTATAAGAAGTTCAAATATAAAGTTAAAATAAAGAAGAGTAATATAAAACTCGATTTATTTAGTTAATACTATTAAAGCAACTAAATCAAAGTTAATCAAATAGTCGAAAGCTTTCTAGTAATAGTTTAATTAAATTACTATCCAAAATGCTAACTCATATAAAATAGCAGTATTTATTAAAATAAAATAAGCTAATATAAATCCTATCACAAAATGCACTCGGGTGCCTCTTCCAGGACAAACTATATAAGACCACTTGAGCGACCAAACTGCCAGCTTCGGTTACTTGTATCCTTTTGGAACATAGCCTAGTAGTGTAGTGGCCCGCTAGCGCCGTGATAGTTACTAAAACATCGCGATGGGGGAGGAGAGCTCTTTCGAGCGTATTTACGAAGAAACAGTAATAGTAGTTGTCACGGCGACGCATTTTACTACTACGCTATAACGTTCTGTATTTCTCCCAAAAGGATGCAAGTAACCGAAGCTGGCAGTTTGGTCACTCAAGTGATCTTATATAGTTTGTCCCGGAAGAGGCACTCGCGTACAATCCGTGACAGTAGTAGTTTGAAAAGATAATCAAATCTAATATAACAGGTTTATAAAAGTATTATGTAGCGAGTAGTCATGTAATAGTTAAAATGCTTGTTAACGTGTGACTAGTACTGTGTCTTGTAACTACCTTGTGCTACCTTGTAGTATGAAATACTGATTGAACTATTCCTTCTACAAAATCAGTCCACTTAGCCTCCACAGAGCGTGCTAGAATATAGAGGTTTTGCCACTGTATTCTGGGATTCTCTAACTTGTTCAGCATTCCTTCTAGACTAATTTGTTATCATAGAATGTACCAGAAGCTCATAGATTTAGTTTATTCCTTTCATGATATAGTGCTCCTATAAGCACTTCTATCAACTTACAGAAGCTTTCACTATGACAGGCTGGGGTGCATATGCCCAGACAGCCAAACCTACAAAAGATAAGACGATGTTCTGCTTGCAAGGCAGAACTCGGAATGCATACTATATAGCTAATGTCAACCTGTGACATCTACACTCTGGAAGCTTCTAAATACTTAATGTTCGTGTATATAAAGACCTCTTCTCTTCTTTAGTTAGTCACTCCTTAAGCAAGCAAGCAAGCACAATCCAAGCAATACAATACAGTCTACTTCTATAGTGCAGAGTTCAATATACTCTTCTATCTTGAGAGTAGAGTTCTTTCTAAGACCTCTTTTACAACATCCCTCTATTGTCTTTGCAACTACGCTGTTTTCTTCAGCACTGCTGTTGTGCTTCTTACCGCTTCCGCTCCGCTCTACTACAAGTGCATAGTTCATTGTAGCATCTCTATACTAGTGCTATTATTATAGGCTAGTTAGAGCATTGCAGCAAATAATGTTATATTTAATAAGGAACAAAAAGGAAGAAAGATTGCACTAGAAGAGTGCAGTCGAAAGAAGAATTTGTTTACCTTTGTGCTAAGGCCGCACGGACGGTAAATATAGGGATTTGGCCAACCAGACTATCACGGCGACGTATCTTACCACTACACTATAACGTTCCATGTTTTTGTAAAAGGATACAAGTAACCGAAGCTGGCAATTCAGTCGCTCAAGTGGTCTTATATAGTTGCGATGGATGCCCAGTCCGTCACACAAACCGTCTGCATTCTTAGCAATAAGCGCTGGTACTTTGGCATTGCTTTGGCGTTGACCAAGGCTATCCTAAACGCTAGCCCTATAACATTTATAAGAGTAATACTTTCTAGCTAATTGGGAGTTGATAGGATACGAGGAACGAAGAGGTATTAATAACAGTTACGAAATTAATAAGAGTTAAGGTAATTGTTAGTTACGTTTATAAATAGGTAATTAGTAACAATAATATAAGTTTGTTGATTTTAAATACTTTTATTTACTTATAGACTATGTTAATAACGCTAAAATAGATTTTACTAAGAAGTAGGAGATAAGAGAGGGCTGGTATAGTTAGTAATAATAGGAGTAGTAATAA